TAAATATGATACCAAGGTTACTTGTATAAAGGAGAAGATCATGCTAGTTAGGAGGAATTCACAAGAGCTATTTGTATGATGTTTGAAAATAAAGAAGATGTTGTGGAAGGATTCAATAAACTTGTACTGGATAAAGGTGTTAAGATGTATATGGAAAGATTTGAAATGCTTAATTCTTTGATGAGTGCTTTGAATCCTTTATTGTCATAATCTTACTACATTTCTAGTCTTATAAATGAGCTTAAAGAGGATATAAAACTAATATGTAAGATTCTCGAAGTAATAGTATTGATACAAACCTTTAATTAAGTTAAATGGTAAAAAGAATTCAATAATGACTTGGCTAGAAAGAACAAAACTAATGACAAGAAACAATCATTCATATAGTTTAAGAAAGCCAACATGTAATTCCTATTCTAAATATTTTAGTCGGCTAAGAGGTGAGCTAATGCTTAGTTTTAAATGACAACTTGGAACTTAAAATGAACTAAAAGAGAAGACTAATGCATTGGTTTAGATGTAGAGAGAAGTGCACACCAAGGCATCATTATAATGCAAAAATGTTTGCATATGATAAAAGGGGTAGATAAGGAAAAAAAATTATAGATGTTACAAAAAGAGATAATAATGGTACGATTGTTGATAAAGATAAAATTAAAAAATATGGCTTGTTCTTAAATGCATTGGTAGAAGTTATGGCAATAATACAATTTACTATCAAAATTTTATGTTTTATCAACAAAACATTTAATTGGTATTTTAAAAACTGATTTTGTTGGCACTATTTTTACCGATAGGATCAGAGATGGTTATTGTTAAATGAAAAACTTATCATCAATTATTTTTGTTTTGTAGGCAATATAATGATCAATTGATTTACATGCGAAAAAAGCATATTAAACAAAAACAATTTACTAACATCATTATATCAGTATTTTAATTAGTGAAGATGAACAAAAAAGATCATTTGTAATTCTATTAGTGATTTATTTTCATATTACTGATGGAATTAACTTGTTGGTGATTAAATAGTGTCATTGACATTTCTCGTACTCGGGAATCTTTTGGTAGACTTATTATGTGGTAAGTCCCCGTTGGTAAGTTGTTTAAATATAATTTTTTAAAAATATAATAAACAAGTAGAAAAAAGTTAATATAAATTAAAATCAATTATTTGTTACAAATTTAAAGAGCTATCAATTTAAATACAATTCATCTATAAAAGAAGGGTTAAATGAGAAGGCAGAGGAGGAGGCAAGTTTTTATGGGGATCGGGGGGTGATAAGGTGGACCGCATGTGCCACTTATGTGTGATATTAGCTCCATGTACAATCATTTGAGTTCAACCATCTTAGCACTACGTCATTTTGTCTCGACAAGAAGATGGTTCATTTGAGCTTCAACATGTTGGTTTCAAATTGCTTGGAACTTTAGACAATAAGTTCTTAAAACCACTTATGAGCATCCAATGGTTGAAACACTTCAGCTCATCTGCAACTCCTTAGTTGTGGTGTTTGAGATACTGTAAACCTGATTTTTATTGACTCCACTAGAGGATCCTTCCTCTAACCATAAATCTAAATCGATTTTTAGATGAGTTGAATGATCATCCTTGTATTTCTTTTACAACTAGGTATTATATGTTTCCTAAAAAAAATCAACTAATTCAAAAAAATAATAACTTCAGAAAAAGAACTTGTTGAAACCTAACATACTATGAACTTTTGAGTTCAACTATCCACAAGTTGTTACACCTCTTTTCGATGATCATCATTTCGCATGTGAGTTTCTATAAAAGCCTCCATCAGTTTTGTTTACATCTAAGAACTGTAGCTTACAAAATAAAATTGCCATTTGTTAAACATTTTCATATAAAACAAGAATTTAGAAAAAATAGATATAATAAAAAAGAATTTTATTATCTGCTTCACAATGGAAATGAATAGAATAAATTTACTAGTATGCGTGATAATAAAACCATGAATCTCTCTATTCTAGTTTTTTGCACCTAATTATGACTACCGCATAAAACACTTACAATCATGAGCTAAATATATTTACCCATATATCTTTTAAGATATATGGAGGTCTGAAACCCCTTTAAACTACCATATCTCTTCAGTATGGAAGACCTCTTTCTTTAGCATTTATTTATTTATTTCTTTTTTATGTCTCATATAAAAAATTACACAACTTATACGGTCTAAATGAATTATCAATTAATTAATTAAAAAATAAATTTAAACATTTGAATAAAAAATATAACATTTTGAATTCAATGTTATCTAATTGTGATATGATTCTTCCAAGTTCTCTTGGTAACAACATCGGTTGCCTTATCCTAGAAAATTCATTCGTTAATTGAAATTTATTTTTTAAAAAATATTAACTATTCTTTATTTTTAAATCATGCAAAAAAGGAAAACAAAATTAGATAGAGTAGTTGGGCTTCCACTAGGTAATATAATTCTTAATCTATACATCCTGCTATAAACAATCCCCCTTCAATAAGGTGTTATTACAATCAACGAGCGTGCATTGAGAGAGGCTACATGTGCCCCAATTGCATGTCATTTCATGATCGGCACTTAACAACTCATGGTTGTTAGAAGTGCTACTTGAAGAATTAGCAACGATCCTGTTTATACGATGCACTAATAACTTTCTCTTTGACATTATATAAATTAAAGGATTAAAAAAATAATAACATTCCTAATTAAAAAAAAATTAGCAACATTTTAACTACTTACAAATGCACATCAATAATATATAATCATCAACTAGTTGATTTTATTTATGACAAGTCCTTGTTCCTAATGTTTTCAAAATAAAAATAAAAAACCTATAAAATGTGAGGAATCAACATTAGTTTAAAATTCACTATTTCCAACAACTTTAATCTAAAATTCTTATTACTTCCATTACTTTTTTACAGAACCAAAAACCCTAACATTTATATATACTCAATATAAACTAAAGTAGATAATAATAATAATAATAATATTGGAACATCTCATAATTCCATATTTCAACATATAATTTTATTTTAAGTGTATTTTTCATGTTTTCCTTTTTTGCTCATTTTCTTATGTTTCAAATTGGACAAATGTTGTGGAAGGAGTAGGATATAGGTTTTAAGTTGCAACTTACATAAATTTAAAATTGTAAATAACTTTACAAGTGGAAGGAATAAATCGTAATCGAAAGCTGTCATTGGCAACATTCATCATCAGAAAGAATAAATCATTCTTTATGAAGTTTGGAAAATTTCAAGTCATTAGTATTGTAGAAATTACAAGAAGACAATATTTAAGCTTTGATAGTTTATGGAGGTTTGGAGATAAAACTCTAAATTCATGGTGTGCATCCTAGGTATTATTTTTTGCTTTTCATAACTTCTAGTTTTATGATTAATATTTAAAAGTCTATTTTTTATCAAAATTTTATATCATCATTTTGCACTTGAAATATCAATAGCTCCTTAACTAGAGCATGTTTTATATTGACATATCTAATAAATATAAGATACCTTTAATTTATGATAAATGTTCATCTAAAATGCAAGCCTGTCACATAAATAAAAAATAATAATTGATGAGTTTAATTACTGAAATTGAGAAGACAAAGAGATGGCTAAACTTAAAAAAGATATATTGGTTCAATCATTGGGTCATATCTCGAGCTATAGATCTTGGATTTCATTTTAGTTTATATAGCTAAAAAGTTAAGAAATAGTAAATAACCTATCATTTAGTATAAAAACAATGGAGCAAATTCATCAACTTCATCAAAAACAAAAAACAAAATAGACAATACACGTGGGTCTAGGTTTCCCGACCTAGAGAGGCTTTTACTCTTAAGTGGATGGCAAGGCATGTGGGACTAGCTTGTAGGACCCAATAGGACTTTTTTTTTTAGATTTTGATTATTTTTAAAATTTTGATAAGTATTTTTAATTTTCATTAATTTTTTATTTAAATTAATACTCTCCCCTTTTTTATTGTTTTTATTCTCCTTTTTTAAATAATAGGGTTTTTTATAATTATGTTATATTTTTATAATGTTTCAAAAAGGTTATTGTAATTTATTTTTAAATTTATATTTGGTATAAATAAATTATATTTACATGATTTATTTATAAAAATAAAATAAAAATTATTTTGCATCTATAAAAATAAGTCATTTGTTCTTCGTAAGAAAGAATATCCTCCAAGATTAAAAAATAAAAATAAAATAAAATATATAAATCTAAAAATAAAAATTTGGGTTCTCTCTTTGCACGCTCATCTATCTTTTTCTTTTTAAAAAAGAAATTAGCTTTTTATTTTAGTATTTAATTAGTATTAACAACTATTTCTTGGTTTAAATGTTCATGTGTTTTTTTAGTTTATTGTATTAAGTATAAACAACATCTTTATATTTTTAAATTAAAAAATCATGATAAAATAAAATATAAGACTTGTTAAGCAACATTTCAGCAGCTCACGTGATGCTTTTGGAATATTGAAACAGGTCACATTTGGTACTTTTGATAGTCCATTTATGTATTTATGGAACCTCAACCATTTTCCCAGTTCAAACATGCATTGTTAGGGCTGGTTTGGCACTTGAGCACCCTTCAAGCTTTGGCAGAGAAATGGAAGAAGATTTCTACCATTTTAGTTTCACTTGATTCAGTAGAAATCAAGATGGAAATTTTATGTAATGAGGCTTGATTTGAACAAGAGTTAGTGAGAAGTTTCATCCACTTTATCCACACATTAGCAGCTCTCTTGATAGCTTCAGTTTAATTGATTAAAGAGAACCGAAGACCCTTGCTGCCTTGCCTAGGTCGGCTTCTTTTGTGCTTCAGGTCCTGGAACCGTAACAAAGGGTATAGCAGTGTGTGTGAAAAGGCTGCTTGTTATAAAACCAATATGTTACTCCCTCTCTTTTTATTTTTCTCTTTCTCTTGATTTATGGATCCTGCGCATGTTCCCAACAAGAAGCACTCACAGTCCTGAAGCAAGCAGCATTTCACATGGAACTTGTAAGTAGAGTAATTAAAAAGGCAACTTTGTCTGGCATGATTTAGAGCTAGCAAAGGCAAGTTCCCTCCCTCCCATTGATAAACTAGCCACGGTCTCCAGGGCCATAATACACATACAAATAGGAGCATTTTGTTCTACACCAGTTGAGGATTTATGGAAGTTACAAGACCATGGCATAAGGGAGCTTCTATCTCACTCGTACAGTTTCTGGAGCTCATCTTTAAATTTGGACTTCAGCTGCTCCCTCTTTATCTTGAGGGCAGCAGTAACCAAACCAGACTCGGGTGTCCATGGATCTGGCAGCAACTTGATCTTAGCTGGAGTTTCAAACTTGTCCAACCTCAAAGCTTTTGCTACCTGCAGAGATAGAATGACCTCAGATCTACAGAAAGGATTCTGTTTCTTCCTCTATATATATTAACAATGGCAAATGCGCTTGCTTGACATCAAAAAACTATAAACCTTTCATTCCAAATATGTAGACAAGTGCAAACAGACTCAGGTGGACTTTAAAGGTCACATAATGAAACAATGTATAAAAATTTTCATCCAAGAATTTACATAGGTAAATCTTGATAGATGAGGCAAGCACATCTCGCCAGAAGACTGGGAGACATAAGTGCACGTGCAATTCAAAGCATAGTAAAAAAAATCAGAAGCTATGGAAAAATTCATTCATGTTTCATCTTGGAAATATGAACCGAGTTCAACAACAATAAGAGAGTTCACATGTTTGTGTTCAGCAGTTTTAACTAATCAAAACCATTTCAAATAGCTTTCCCGTAGACAAGCAAAGATAATTCAAATCATCATCACCAAATCAGAAGGTATGCCAATATTCATTCAGGTTTCATCTTGGAAATATGAATGAATTCAGCAATAATAAGAGCTCCCATGTATGAAAGTTTTAACTAATCATAAGATTTCAAATAGCTCTCCAGTAAGCAAGCAAAATAAACCAACCTTGGAAAGTGATTGTTCAACCTCACTGACAGCTTCGGCTTTGTTACACAGTTCAGGAAAGTTTTGGTACTGGATGCCAGCTTCCTGGGCCCACTTCTCAAGTATGAGACGTGATGGAACAATTAGGGCAACACAATAGTTGTGGAAGGGATTTGCATGTACCATGATATTATCAACATAGTCACTCGACGTTAATGCTGTCTCCACCTGCAATCAGGGCACAAATCAACATTATTGGCACATCAAAGCATATGCATGCACCTTAGAAATACTATCACAAATTTTCAGATTAAGATTTATAAAAACCTTTCCAAGAGAGATATATTCTCCATGTTGAAGTTTGACGATATCCTTCTTCCTATCAATAATTTCAAGGCATCCATCAGGGTGAAACTGCCCAATGTCGCCAGTATAGAACCAACGCATGCCCCTTTCATCAACCTATAGCAGGTCAAGAGAACCAGTTTTCCATGTCTGAGCACACAGCAGAGTAAAAGCAAAAGGAAAATGCACATTCTCACCCATACAGAAAACATACATGTGCACTCATGCAAGCACACTAAAGAATACCTTGTAGACCTCGTTACTCTTTTCTTGGTAGTTGAAGTAACCAGCAGTCACGCTGAATCCCCCAACTACAACCTCACCCCAGGGCATTGGCTTGTCGGCCACTGTATACCCACCTTCTTCCCAAGAAACAAGCTACAATACCAAAACAAAGGAGTTCTTAAAACTAATATTCTAAAATCTTACAGAGTAAGCATCCCTGCCTCTGCAACTATGTTTTTTTTCACAAAGTGTGAGGTTCAGTCTGACCATAACCTTGAAAAAGTAATTAATGTCATGAATAATAGCTTTTGGTTGATATTGGTTAATGGAAATTCTTTTTGGAGTATAGGCTATGCCAGTTAAGATGCAGCAACCTAAATAGATTTTCATCTTGGAAATATGAATGAATTCAGCAATAATAAGAGCTCCCATGTATGAAAGTTTTAACTAATCATAAGATTTCAAATAGCTCTCCAGTAAGCAAGCAAAATAAACCAACCTTGGAAAGTGATTGTTCAACCTCACTGACAGCTTCGGCTTTGTTACACAGTTCAGAAAAGTTTTGGTACTGGATGCCAGCTTCCTGGGCCCACTTCTCAAGTATGAGACGTGATGGAACAATTAGGGCAACACAATAGTTGTGGAAGGGATTTGCATGTACCATGATATTATCAACATAGTCACTCGACGTTAATGCTGTCTCCACCTGCAATCAGGGCACAAATCAACATTATTGGCACATCAAAGCATATGCATGCACCTTAGAAATACTATCACAAATTTTCAGATTAAGATTTATAAAAACCTTTCCAAGAGAGATATATTCTCCATGTTGAAGTTTGACGATATCCTTCTTCCTATCAATAATTTCAAGGCATCCATCAGGGTGAAACTGCCCAATGTCGCCAGTATAGAACCAACGCATGCCCCTTTCATCAACCTATAGCAGGTCAAGAGAACCAGTTTTCCATGTCTGAGCACACAGCAGAGTAAAAGCAAAAGGAAAATGCACATTCTCACCCATACAGAAAACATACATGTGCACTCATGCAAGCACACTAAAGAATACCTTGTAGACCTCGTTACTCTTTTCTTGGTAGTTGAAGTAACCAGCAGTCACGCTGAATCCCCCAACTACAACCTCACCCCGGGGCATTGGCTTGTCGGCCACTGTATACCCACCTTCTTCCCAAGAAACGAGCTGCAATACCAAAACAAAGGAGTACTTCAAATTAATATTCAAAAATCTTACAAAGTGAGCATCCCTGCCTCTGCAACTATGTTTTTTTTTCACAAAATGTGAGGTTCAGTTTGACCATAACTTGAAAAGGTAATTAATGTCATGAATAACAGCTTTTGGTTGATTGTAAATGGAAATTCTTTTTGGAGTATAGGCTATGCCAGTTAAGATGCAGCAACCTGAATAGATTTTTCAGAATTCTCTCTGAAAACCAAGCCTGGTTCAGATCGTGAAACTAAATAATTTTTTTCTTTTGTAGAAATACACCATACCTTAACGTAGCAACATGGAAGAGGAGGTCCAACACGGCCCACAGATGGGTCGTCCCACTCAGTGAAAGCAGCTCCAGCACACGTTTCTGTCAACCCATATCCTTGACCAATTATAGCCCTGAAGATGAAAATTGTGCACTGAATATCAACCTAAATTGCTAACACTCAGAGTGGAAATATAGTACGTTAAAAATACCATTTTACATAAGCAAACAATTTTAAGCACTGAAGGACTGATCTAGCATGGTAGAGAGCTTATTCTAACACAGTTTGCAGACATATGCATGAATGCATGTCATCCCAAACTAGTATTTCATGGATTTTAAAATCCAATAACACCACATGTCAACGTACATGTTTTATGTTCCCAATTACTGGTAATAAGTATCTAGGTTTTTTATCTCCACTATCTGACCATACAATAGCAGATCCAAGAGCACAACAAAGTTACTTCCTGGTGTCCAGGATACAATATGGTTTCTGCCGGACTCCAGAGGACATTTCTGTCCTTCACATTGCAAAAACAAGAAATGCTTTGTGCTCTCATGGATTAGGTTCTGATGAATAGCACAGCCAACTATAATATATTGTCTCCCAAAGATGACACTGGAAGAAGTAATGAAAGGAGTACAAAGGAAAAAATTAGAATGAAAATAGAAGTTTCTTCCATTAATTATCTTGGTATTTGTAAATGAGAATGTCATTACCCCATGCAGATGTTGGTGAACCGCTGTGAATCCCCAGATAAAGGGGCTCCACCACATAAGATGAATCGCATACGAACTCCTAGTATAGCACGTATTTGTTTGAAGGCAATGACATCCCACAGCATTCTCTCCAATCCTGAAGCACCAAACCAGCTCCCTTCTATGGCTGCCATTCGGCGCTTATATCCAATGTTGAAAAGCTTCTTTGCTAACCCTCCCTTCTCCTCAACCTGTTGTGAATCAAAAAGGCATTAAAGAAATTAATTAGCTGATGGTGAGGGCATTCTCAACTTACACAAATGTATTTATAATCAGTACAGTAGGATATTAATGTTGATTCAGTTCACACCTTTTTTAGAACACCATCCCGGACACGATCAAGTATGGCTGGAACTGCCGTCATGAGAGTAGGATTTTATATAGATGCATCACCCTTGGTTCCTTTCTTAATTTTGTTAGAAGTGTCTGTCAAAGTCAATGCCGAACCGTAGCCAATAGCACAACCTGCAGACAACATTACAGACTGGACAATCACAAAATTTAGTATTTATATGTTATATGTTACAAGTAGCACAGGAAAGAAGTACATTTAATGGAGTACCTCAGCTGCCAGTTCAAAAACATGGGCTAGGGGCAAATAAGCCAAATATACATCTTTGCAGCTCAGTTTTGGAATCACCGTCATAACAGCTGCAGCAGTGGCTACAATGTTGCCATGAGTAATCATGACTCCCTAGGTTGTAAACAGGATATAGGGTCAGATCAAAAGAAAGCATGCATTTGTAGTGATGAAGTAATAATGAAGTTGGAATTCAGTAATCGTAGAAAAAAGCTAAAGGAAAATAGAAATGCAATGCTCTTTACAACATCCCTACTTGTCTCAATATACAAAATTAAGCCTTCGCATTCTTCCTAACAACTTGCACTTGGAGTTTCATTGTTTTCTGTGTCCTGAAAAATAAATACTGGACCCAAGCCAAGTTTCTGTCTGGACATATGCAAACAGAGAGTGATCTTCCTATTCATCTTCTTTACAGTAAAGTCTATTGGCAAGATTTACCATGCATTGAGTTCAATCAGTGATGCAAAATGTGAGAAACTACAGCACCGGACAAACCTTTGGCTGGCCTGTGCTGCCACTTGTGTACATAACAACAGCAATTCCATTCTTCGTAGGTAAGCTTGGAGGAACAGGACTGTTCTTCCCCAGGTCCTCAACTTCAGAAAAAGACGAAACCTTCCAATCGCTTGTGCTTGCAGATAAGCCCAAATCATTTTTAGTTTCTCCATCTTCAAAGTAAATGACATTGTTAATAGTTGTTATTTTTGAGCTTATTGCAGCTAGCGTTTTCAACTGCTTGGGATCACAGATCAGGGTAGATACTTGAGTCTGTCCGCATTTTCAAAATTCAAGTGAGAGCCATAAGAATCTGGACTTTCATCGAGAAAAAAGTAAATGATTTAAATGCCACAAATTAGTTACATTACAGATAAACTAATCAGGTAACGCAAGTGCACGAAGAGAATCTCATACCTCATTGAGGGAATGGATCAAAGCATCCACACCTAGAGAAGCATAAATAGTGACAACAGTAATGTTCTGCCGAAAGCATCCCTGTACTCCAACAAAAACAACATTCAGTTTTGGCTGTGCATCCATCATTCATCAGGGATAAAAAGAAAAGGAAACATATAAGCACTGCAAACACGAGGATACCTGAAAGGCAATCAACCACTCAGCCCGAGTATCAGCAAGAATTGTAGCACGAGTATCCTCATTATGCCCTAACATAATAAGCCCGGATGCAAAGTTACAAACACGATCAAAAACCTGTCCATAGGTCTGCCATTCATAATCACCCAGGTGCAGCTTCTCAAACTTCCTACCATCACTAGCAGTAACAAATTCCTTACTAATTAGCTTCCTTGTTCCAAGAAATCGTTCTGGCCAATGCTTTCTACAAGACTGCTCAAATAGAGCTGCCATGGTCGTTGCCCCTTTCCAAGGGACTTCAACTAGCTCAGCATGCCGGGCATTGCGAACTGCATAACCTGCCTCACCGCCTACCTCTACCGGGACTCCTCTCTGTTTCACCTTTTTCTTTCCCATGAAGATAGTAGAAAGTAATATAGGTATGAGGATAGCAGTACCCACAATGCCATATGTTCCATAGCCCTTCCCAACTGACGAGTAATCATTAGAGTCCAATTTATCTAGAACAGGTGAGCTCGGAAAACTTCCCTCGGAATCAGCCATTTTCAATGCTTCTTATATGGTGGTTTAAAGAATCACCTGGGATGGATGACAAGAATTAGAAGCGCCATCATCTCCCATCTTTCGAAAATGAGAAACAAACAACAGAGCTACAAGGATTTGTACCAAATATAATACATTTAAAATAAAGGAGAGACAGCACAGTGGATCTAAGGATGTTCCTTGGCGTACAAAACTTGCATTAAGGTAAAGAACATGCAGCCATATACTGCAATAAACATTTGTTGTTTCACAGTAAATTAACTAACTGTCATAGGTCACATAATTTTGAAAAAAGAATCGCAATTTACTCAAATTTAAGAAAGGAACTGCAAAAGAAAAGAGGATTAATAAAAAAGAAGCAAGCAAGATGGGATCATGGATCATAGAATAGCATATAAAGAAGGCAGCAAGGATAAGAGGCTTGTTAACATCAAAGCACTGCTGAATCCAAAAGCACTACTCAATAAACTCAATAAAAAGAAAGAAAACACCACTACTACTCTGCTGTCTTTCTATAGCTTTTACCTCTGGAAGATTATAGGAACCGAAAGAAAAAGAAAGTAAGCAGTCTTGGAGAGTGCATGAAAGGAAAGTTACAGGACCCTGTCTCCCACTCTCACCTTTTTCTTTCTCTTTATACTCCTCTTCCTCCTCCCCCCCAGTATATATACTGTTCTTTTCTCTTTTCTTTTGCACCACTGCTGATCGTTACTTTAAGTAGTTGAACTGGTAGTCCGACGAGTGTATTTTCTCTTTTAATTTTTTTGAGTTTCGATTTTAAATTCATTTATAAAAATTTGTTCTCTCAAAATACTCGAATATTTATTCTTAATGTAAAACATGTTCTTTCCACTTGGCATTCCAGAAAGGAGACTGGCGTGCTAACCAAGCACGATCCCCGTGCCATGTAGACACGCGTCTCGCGGGTGACGTCAATATTATTATTTTTATTTGTATTATTTTATTTTATCATTAGTGGCGGCAACAAAGAAAGAAGGGGAGGGAGGTGGGGAGGCGCACACCTCAACTGGAGATTCCGGAGACTGTCTCCGATCCAATCAAGTAATGAGAAAAACACTTGGGGGCTTGGAAGGTTCTACTAGTTGATGGGTGATGGCTAAAACAGAAGGGAAATGAAGATGCCCTGTCATGATAAGCCTAGAGGCAGCCATTTATGACCTCTGGAGCTGGTTTTCTGGAAGGTTTAAAACCACAGGCTGCTATGCAATGTTAATGTAATGCTCCATCTATAAGACTAGCTAGCACTCGGTATTTTGGCAATGTTCACACTAGGCAGAATTAAGCAAACCATTAGCTCAGGATCACGGACACGCAAAGCAAACCGAGCACAGAAGTTGCTCAGTTTTCATCACACAATCCATAATAACCTGAAAAATGTATTCCTGTTTTTCTACTAAAAGAAAGGGGTAAATCTTCTGGATGATCAAGAAATTTGACTTCCAGCTTGACATGCCATCACAAGATTCAAAACTACGTCCAGAGGTATTTATACTTTCGGCAGTTAATGGAAGGATAGCATACGATTTTATTTGCAGTGCTTTGCCCTCGAGCAAAAGCATGTTAGTACAATCAGATACATTGGGCATCATAATCGTCACGGTATGGTTAAACCCAATTTGAGACATGCATGGGGAGGAGGGTGTTTCATGTTGGTGTTGGCTGTGAGACACTATGAATCGCGTTTAACACTTTCTTCCACACGAGTGAGGGCATCTGTGAGCACATCTATTGTCCAGTCCTTCAAATCGTCCTGCAGATAACAAGAGAAAAATCATCGAACACAACAATTAGCATCTGCATGGAAGTACCTTAGAAGGGAAACACGTTTTGTTTGTCATTTTGCAAAATAGATGAGAAAGCTGTTTGAGGAAAGTGGAAAGCATTTCCCAATCATCAGATTAGCAGATTACAACAATTTACTTGACCGATTGTATCATGAATGCGAAAATCATAATTTTCAGCTTGCTATGCAAGAACAAAGAGAGGATCATCCAAGGAAACAACACAGATGAATGGCTGACTCTGAAACAGAGAAACTTCAAAACAAACCATGTTATAGAAAGCAGTCAAAACAATCAACTATCACGGCGGGACATTCACTTCTAGGGTAAGAAGCAATGGCTACATAAATGATGTTCGTTACTGTTCAATGTTAATGGCAACTGTGAGGACAATAATTAGCACCAGATTGCTGGCTTGCTGCTGATAAATAACAAGTTGCAGCAACATTAAAATCAAGGCATATGCAACTAATAATTGCTAATGCTTTGTGTTTGAGGCCGGGCAATTCTTTTTCTTTTCTTTTTTTCTTTTAGAGAACCAGACCACACAATTGTTAAAAACACCTGAAAATAACATTACTAGATGTTAAGCAACCAGGAGCTACATCGCGTCTGTTGAGCATTATGTCTACCACCGCATCAACTTTGATTGAGAGTGAATTGACAAACAAAAAGAATCAAATTTTGAAAGAGCATACTGTTATGCAATGTCAACATGAGATTCACTGAGAAAGCATTGTCACAATAATATTTATTATTGATTGACTGTCTCCTAACATCAGGAGAAAAAGGATGCAATAATTACGCAAAGATGTTCAAAGATGTGCACCTAGATATCCAAACAAACCAAACTGTGGTATTCTCCTTCAAAAATCTCATGTGTCCATAACTACAGTTGGCATCATCACATTCACAACCTAGCACGTGCAGTATCCCTGATAATCTGGCAACCCCTAAGCAACATATGTCCCTAATATTTCGGATACCACATATGATTGGTGATGGCATGCTCTATGGAAATCATAATTTAACAAACTAAAAGGTAAAAACAAGAGACAGAATGCAAGTTAATTACAGTAAGATGCATGAAAATAAGCTTTGTAGCATAAGTATGCATCTTCCAACAGTCCTACCACTACATATTGGACATCCTCTTATAAAAGCTGCATTGCTGTTCATAGTATCAAGGACAAAAAAAATCAGGCAGATGTAACATCCATTAGCTAAACAATCGGTGACAGCTCACAATTATACCATAACCACGTCTTATAGATTCGCTTATTAAGGGATAAAAGATGTGAACAAATGCACTCCCTATCTTTACAGTCATCCCTGTGATGGAAATGCGTTTATAAGCCAGACTACATAATGAAGTACTAACGAATAGAGCAGGATGCCTCACCATGCGCACCGGTTCTTCAGTTCTTATGCGTGCATTAGGACGAGCAAGCTTGGATTCAAAGGGAGTCCTAGGCCTCACTTCTCTAAACTCCTCCCATTCCTCGCGAGTAAGCATCCTAACTGTGCCTTGACCAACTGGGGCATTCTTAATTTTGCGCTCTATCATTTCTTGCGAGTGTGAATCATCATACTTGAGTTTAATTACCAGACAACAAAATCAATCCATTTAATTCAGTAATCAACAAAATCCAAACCAAACAAAATCGGAATGTCACGACATACCATCATGAGTAGCTTTGCAAAGAGTGCAGTTCCAACAACAGTGAGAATCATGGGCATAGTTGCAGTGTCAAGAAATGACAAGGATTCTGGAACCTGGACAAAAATGTCGTCTTTTTTCTTAGACTTCTTCTTTGACCTCCTTACTTTCTCCAATTCCGTTATTCTTCTCTTCAATGTTTCCGTGGCACCATCACGGGACACTTTTGTATACAAGTGTCTCCCACATGACATAACTGCTTTCCCAAACCCTGAACCAATACCACCATACATGACTTTTCAAGACCAATCACGCAATTGACTCGGCCCCAATTGAATCGGAGAGAGAGAGACAAGGATCTTGTATCATTTACAGACCTCCATTGCTGTGAGCTGGAGATTTTCCTAGGGTTTAAATGACCAGGGAAAGAGAGATGTAAGAGAAGGAGAAAGGTCTGATTTTTTGTAGTATTTGGTGCGCTGTATACTTATTTCACTGCCTTTCGAGCCCAGCCCATTAACTTAATCATGACTAAGCCTGTCGTGCTAAAAAAACAAATTGTAGCGCTGTAAAATTTAAAAAATAAATTTATTTGAAATGAATACTTTTTATATTTTTAAATTATTTTAATACATGTTAAAAGTAAATTTAAAAAAATAAAAAAAGATATGTTTTATATATCGTTTTCTTTTTATTTTAAAAATTCTTTTCTAATTTTATTATTTAATATTAAATTAGTTTTAATTAAACTTGTATAATTTTATGGATTATAAATATAAAATATTAACCAATTTAAAAGATTTATTATTTTTAAATTAATCAAGATTACTACTATTTTTTACATCTTTTTTACTAAGTTAAATTACTTGAATATTCTTAAAAGCAAAACAATACTTGCCTTAGGTCTAGGGGTTTTTTCTTAAATTTCACTGTTAAAACTTGATTTTATAGTGCTAACCGTGATTTTAAGGGCTGTCATAATCCAATTTTGGGTTATTTTCCAATTTTTATCCATGTTTTGATAATTTTTTAGTGGCACCATCACGGGACACTTTTGTATACAAGTGTCTCCCACATGACATAACTGCTTTCCCAAACCCTGAACCAATACCACCATACATGACTTTTCAAGACCAATCACGCAATTAACTCGGCCCCAATTGAATCGGAGAGAGAGAGACAAGGATCTTGTATCATTTACAGACCTCCATTGCTGTGAGCTGGAGATTTTCCTAGGGTTTAAATGACCAGGGAAAGAGAGATGTAAGAGAAGGAGAAAGGTCTGATTTTTTGTAGTATTTGGTGCGCTGTATACTTATTTCACTGCCTTTCGAGCCCAGCCCATTAACTTAATCATGACTAAGCCTGTCGTGCTAAAAAAACAAATTGTAGCGCTGTAAAATTTAAAAAATAAATTTATTTGAAATGAATACTTTTTATATTTTTAAATTATTTTAATACATGTTAAAAGTAAATTTAAAAAAATAAAAAAAGATATGTTTTATATATCGTTTTCTTTTTATTTTAAAAATTCTTTTCTAATTTTATTATTTAATATTAAATTAGTTTTAATTAAACTTGTATAATTTTATGGATTATAAATATAAAATATTAACCAATTTAAAAGATTTATTATTTTTAAATTAATCAAGATTACTACTATTTTTTACATCTTTTTTACTAAGTTAAATTACTTGAATATTCTTAAAAGCAAAACAATACTTGCCTTAGGTCTAGGGGTTTTTTCTTAAATTTCACTGTTAAAACTTGATTTTATAGTGCTAACCGTGATTTTAAGGGCTGTCATAATCCAATTTTGGGTTATTTTCCAATTTTTATCCATGTTTTGATAATTTTTTATAAAAATTCAAAAAAAAAAGAAAAAATAATGAAAATCCAAAAAATATATTTTTTTTAAATATATTTGCATCATTTTTAGCATTTTCAACATCATCTCAAAAGAATTTAAATTTTCAAAGATATTTGAAACGCATTCAACTTTTAACGTGTTATTTTTAAAATCATTGGTCTTCCTCATTGAGTCGATGTTGATATTGCTTGTTTTCAAAAAATACAAAAAAATCAAAATTTATAAAAAAATAAAATTAAGGGATCAATTTTAAAATTCATGCAACATTTTACCTATAAATAA